GAGGCTAAACTGGCCTACTGCTTGGGTACTGGGTGAGGACAATCATTGAGAGGCATCCGGGGTAAAACTTCATGCCCCACGTTCAGCCATTTTAGTGCCATGTGGTCCCTTCACTAGGCCCCCAAGTAGCATGTGCCTCCCAGTAGGCTCTCTGACTCTGAAAAATGGCTCCTCTGAAAAATGGCTCCTCTGAAAAATGGCTCCGCTTGTCCAGGTTAGGGTGAAAGTAGGCCTAACGGGGCAGCCATCCAAGGACAATCAGTGTCCCTCCCTGAGACAGCACTGTTATTGTGAAACTGACCTCTACACGTATGGAAAGGGTGACAGACCCCGTGGTTGGCAGGTTGTGCACGGAGTCCACTGGGGTCCTGTACAGGGCTTGGGAAGATGGTGAGGGTGTGGTCCTGCCACTTCCTGGCTGTGTCTTCGATTCTTTAAACTGAAAGTCCTCATGATCTAGCGTGCTTATGATCCTCACCTAGCTTCCCTCAGAGGCGGGATGGCATGAGCCGAGGCAGTGGAAATGCCAAACTGCTGTGCGGTGCTGTGGCCTACTGACAGGTCCAGGAGGCCCGGGCCAGTTCTCCTGCGTGGACAGAAGTACCCCACCCCCCGACATCTGTAGACTTCTCAATGGAGTTGCTATTTTTAAGGCAAGCTGCATTGCAGTTCATCCAGGCCTTTTTACCAACAGTTAAACCAAAAGGCGTCCCCGAAACACCCTTAGCTACATACAAGGATGGGTGACAAAACCCAAAATCTAAGATGCCTACTGCCACATCTATACAACAATGCACAGTTTACAGAGGCAGGAAGGACCTCACTGCCTTCCCCCCCCCCCCAGGAGGCAGGTGCACTTTTTCTGTTTTAGTAACTGGGAATCAAGACTCAATGAAGTGACATCATTTGTTTGGTGGACCTGTTAGCGAGCGAAGCATACGTGTTGAGTGATGCTCCTGAGTGTGGGGGCCTCTGGTCAGCACAGATCTGGGGGAAGAGTCTGCATTTGAAAATGATAAGACGGCCTCTTGGTAGCTGCAAGAACAGAGAAGGCTTCATGTGTGCTTTCCAGATCTATGAAAATAGGGAGGGAGGAAGCAAGGACAGACATGGCGGGGCCCTGGGTTCTGGGTTGCTCTGTGTGGTTTAGTGGCATTTCTAGGTCTGTAGGCCAGGACCGGTGCTTCAGAAGTAATCAGGACCCAGCACTTGGGATCTTTAGCAGCTACCACAGCAGCCGTGTGAGGCCAGGGGACCCTGTCCAGTTCCTTAACAAAGCAGCCACCTCCTGCTGCACGACATCCAGAACACCTGTGGGCAGGTGGCTGTGAGTTTGAGAGGAGGGGACAATGAGGGAAAGTTCGGGATGAGCCGAGGCCAGCCCTGAGTCAGAGCAGCCTGCTGTCTAAGGCTCTCCTGTCACGTCTAAAAGCCAGCCGTCCGTGAGTGCGCTGCATCTGGAACATTACTCAGTTCTCGAAGAGAGAGATGTTCCAAGTGGCTCGTCAAAGTCTCTCTGACATGGTTCCGTTCTTACAGTGAGCAGTCTTGTGCTCAGGGCTATTTCGAGGCAAGAGAGAGAGCCATGAGGTCATCATATGGAAATGAACATTTTTATTTTAAAACAAGAAGGGGGTGGCTGGAAAGGGAGTTGTCTTAGGGAGGGCCTTCAAATGCTGGGAGACTTTTTTTCCTCCTTCAGGTACTGGGGAGGCTGCTGCCTACAGTGAATCTTGGAGTTCTATGTACTGACATTTAGGGGTTCCGATAAAGATAACTCTCACCCTGGGGTGACAAACGGCCCTAAGATCTGACTTGACAAGCAAGCAGCCCTCTTTCGCTCCTCACAGTTAGGTGACATCCACCCCTGCATACCTTCAAGAGGTGTCTGAGTTTTGGAACATGTGGGCATGTGATCAGTTATTTTGGCTACCTAATCGGCTTTGGGCTTTTGTATCTGTTGGCTAGCCCTTTGCTTGACTGGTATCCTTAGAACAATCTAGAAAATGTGTGGCCACCAGATAAAGCGGCAGGAAGTGCTTCACAGCTACTTGAGGAAATGGAGACACTGAGAAGCAACGGGGCCCAGCTTAAGAGCACCCCAGACCTCAGCAGCCATGTGCCATAAATCCATTACTTAGAGTGGCTGGGGCCCAGAGAAGGCTGCAGAAACAACTGTGACCTTCTAGGACGTGATATTTCGTTTGTGTTAGTAGCTCCAAAGTGTCTGAAAGGGACGTGTATTTACCTTCTTATGAAACACACACACACACACAGACACACACACACACACACACGGTGTGAGGAGTCTAAACCTGTCTTCTGGTCAGCTCCGTGTGAGCTGTCTGAGGCAGGGCATCCTGTCCCTGAAGCACATTAGAGAATAAACTGAGCACTGGGGGGGGGGGGGGGGGGGGGGTGTCAGGACTTTGGGAGGCACTGCTTCTCTGTTAGTTGAAGGAAGGCCCTGATTGTGAGCATCTTGGCTGCCCAGGCCTGTGACACTTGGGGTCCTGTGTGGAGTGCAGACCCGTCTACACAGGCTAGGACACCTGAAGAAGGCAATAGCCTCTGCTTTCCCTGATTGGTTTTTTGTTTTTCTGCTACTTTGTTTCCCCGGAGGGGCTGGGGCTGAGGATTGTATGTAGGAGCTCATGTCCTCTAGGCCAGCACTCTACTGTCGCGCGCTGTATCCCCAGTGCTCCTGAGGCAGTTTACAAAAATGGGGTGAGGCCTGGAGAGGTGGTCCAATCCCTAGAATACACATACAAAGCAAGGGGTGGAGCCATTCACTCATATTCTCAGTGCTGGGGAGGTGGGCAGAGGAAGACCTCTGGGGCATACTGGCCAGTCGGTCTCGCCTAGTCTGTGAGCCTCAGGTCCCCAGGAGAGACCCTGCCTAAGATGGTACTTGGTAAGGAACGACACCCAAAGTTGTCCGCTAGCTTCCACAAGCATGTATATGCACATGCATACTTCTCTGCACACAGGAATACACATATACAGCAGAATGAGGCTGGACTTTAGGATTCTTTTATTCCCCTCATTCTCTCTGCTTTACTTCCTACCACGCCAAACCCACAGATACACTATCAGGGGATTATGGGATAATCCCTGCCTTGCAAAAGCATGTCTCTGATTCCAGTGCTGCTTACTCTGGGTCTGCCGATGCCATGGTCAGAAGGAATCTCAGTCCTGCCCCACGATGACATTAGTACTTTTCTGTGGGCCGTGGAGGCCTGACTTAGGTACACACTTGGAACTGAGGCCGAGACAGACTTCAGAATGTAGATACACAGCAAGGGATACAACCGACTAGGAAATGTAATTAGCTCGTGGAAGTGAAGGTGTTATCTACCCAGGGTTATAGAAGTCCCTGGGTAGGCTGAGGTAAGCAAAGATGGGGGCTTGTCAGGTCCATTCTGGCCCGCACTGTCTGCTGCGGGGCATGGTAACTGTTCATGTTTGGCTCTGCTGGGGAGTTTGAAACTCTTGACTTGGTGTCTTTTTTGATACAGGCAAGTTTAAACAGAGGAGAGGGGCTTTTCGAGACTGAGGTTGCCATCCTTTGTGCCAGGTCTGGAATGAGAGGCCTATTCTTACCCCCTCTGAGCCGCTGCATCCGATGAAGGCAGACAGGCCTGTCCACGCCTGTCTTACTCATCTAAAGCATTAGGAAGGTTCTGGCAGGCAGAATGCGGCCTCACATCGAGGTCAACCACTCCAGACGAAAGGTCCAGCCTCCATCTTACGACTGCCCCGGTAACTGACATGTGCATGGTATTTTGGCTCGGGGCCACTAATGTCCACTAGCATTTGTTACTGATGTCACCCGAGCCAGTTGTAACAAATCAACACATGTGGCTGTCCGTCCTGACTGCTGTCACGTTTGGCGACCTCTTCTCATTCCTTTGTCTTCTGGCGGAAGACATCAAACCACTCTTTTAGGCTGGAGCCCCCCTCCCCCACCTTCTGCTCTCCTCAGGGACTGTGGAGCTGATTTCCACACTGTGGGTGTGTGCGAGGCCATAGGTAAGGGTGGCTTTCACAGAACAGCAGACTTCTGAACTGCGTTAGTCTTGCTTCACATATCTGGGTTTCTATTGGACGGTATTTCCTGCACAGATACTGGCCCATGACACAGAAATTTCCTGTGGCTGAGATCTCAAATGCAGGCAAGGTATCATAGCTCTGTCTGGATGTCGGTCTCTAGCAGCGCTGGGAATTGAATGTAAGGCCTCATCCATAAATTCTGCCACAGAGCTTCATAGTGATTTCTGTTCAAAAAAAAAAAAAGTTAAGTTTGCAAAGCAGTGGAGTCAGTAGTCCCCGTGGGGAGGATAAGGTGGAGTTTTTAATCCCACAGGAGACTTTTGATGACGTGTATACCTTCCTGTGTGCATCAGTAGAGGGTGGGGGGTATCAGCATTTACTATGTGAGGCCTTCTACCTCCTTTTCACCCAGCAGTGAATTATGAGGGTGGGGTCTATACGTCAACAGTGACTGAGTCAAAAATCCTGGTCTAGATGGTGCAGGGGTGAGGTTTATTATCTTGGCTGTCTTTTACATACTGTAACCATTGTCATTCCCTCCTCTCTGGTCCCCAAAATGATGAAAATAAGAACATTTTTTAAGGGGAGCAAAGTCCGGCCTATTGAATGCAAACCATTCCCTGGTGAGCCGGGGTTTGCTCATAGATCCTGTTGTCCCTTGCCGTCTGGGTAGAGACAGTGAGGCCTGTCCACTCCTAGGCTGCAAAAGTGATCCCCTGGAGTCCCGGGGACTACTCATAGATCCCATTGTTTCCTGCCGTCTGGGTGGTCAGAGTGAGGCCTGTCTACCCCTCTGCTGCACGAATGACTCCAAGGCTTTCCTGGGTCTGTTCATAGATCTTGTCCTCAGCCGCGTGTGCGGAGGCAGTGAGGCCTGCCCACCCTGTGGCTACCCCAGCTTCCCAAAAGCTGCTCACGCCCTGCTTTTCTCCTTTGTGTTTCCCCAGGTAAAGATGAGCCTTCCAGCTACATTTGCACAACATGCAAGCAGCCCTTCAACAGCGCCTGGTTTCTGCTGCAGCATGCACAGAACACGCACGGCTTCCGCATCTACCTGGAGCCCGGGCCGGCCAGCAGCTCGCTCACGCCCAGGCTCACCATCCCGCCTCCGCTTGGGCCGGAGGCCGTAGCGCAGTCCCCACTCATGAATTTTCTTGGGGACAGCAACCCCTTCAACCTGCTGCGCATGACGGGCCCCATTCTGCGGGACCACCCCGGCTTTGGCGAGGGCCGCCTGCCAGGTACGCCGCCGCTTTTCAGCCCACCGCCGCGCCATCACCTGGACCCACACCGCCTCAGTGCAGAGGAGATGGGGCTCGTGGCCCAGCACCCCAGTGCCTTCGACCGAGTCATGCGCCTGAACCCCATGGCCATAGACTCTCCCGCCATGGACTTCTCGCGGCGGCTGCGAGAACTGGCTGGCAACAGCTCCACGCCGCCACCTGTGTCCCCAGGCCGTGGCAACCCTATGCACCGGCTGCTGAACCCTTTCCAGCCCAGCCCCAAGTCCCCGTTTCTCAGCACGCCACCGCTGCCACCCATGCCCGCGGGCACGCCGCCGCCACAGCCGCCCGCCAAGAGCAAGTCGTGTGAGTTCTGCGGCAAGACCTTCAAATTCCAGAGCAATCTCATCGTGCACCGGCGCAGCCACACGGGCGAGAAGCCCTACAAGTGCCAGCTGTGCGACCACGCGTGCTCGCAGGCGAGCAAGCTCAAGCGCCACATGAAGACGCACATGCACAAGGCCGGTTCGCTGGCCGGCCGCTCTGATGACGGACTGTCGGCTGCCAGCTCCCCAGAGCCAGGCACCAGCGAGCTGCCTGGCGACCTCAAAGCGGCCGATGGCGACTTCCGTCACCACGAGAGCGACCCATCACTGGGCCCCGAGCCTGAGGACGATGAGGACGAGGAGGAGGAAGAAGAGGAACTGCTGCTGGAGAATGAGAGCCGGCCTGAGTCGAGCTTCAGCATGGACTCGGAGCTGGGCCGTGGCCGTGAAAACGGGGGCGGCGTGCCCAGCGTGGCAGGTGCGGGTGCCGCAGCCGCGGCGCTGGCGGATGAGAAAGCCCTGGCACTGGGCAAGGTGATGGAGGACGCGGGGCTGGGCGCTCTGCCACAGTATGGGGAGAAGCGTGGCGCCTTCCTAAAGCGTGCAGGTGATGCGGGTGATACGGGTGCTGGTGGCTGCGGGGATGCAGGTGCACCGGGTGCGGTGAACGGGCGTGGTGGGGCCTTTGCACCAGGCACAGAGCCCTTTCCTGCTCTCTTCCCACGCAAGCCTGCACCATTGCCCAGCCCTGGGCTTGGTGGCCCTGCGCTTCACGCGGCCAAGCGCATCAAGGTGGAGAAGGACCTGGAGCTGCCTCCCGCTGCTCTCATCCCATCAGAGAACGTGTACTCGCAGTGGCTCGTGGGCTACGCCGCTTCACGCCACTTCATGAAGGACCCGTTCCTGGGCTTCACGGACGCGCGCCAGTCACCTTTCGCCACATCGTCCGAGCACTCGTCCGAGAACGGTAGCCTGCGTTTCTCCACACCGCCGGGGGACCTGCTGGATGGTGGGCTGTCGGGGCGCAGCGGCACAGCGAGTGGGGGCAGCACGCCTCACCTGGGTGGCCCGGGTCCTGGGCGGCCGAGCTCCAAGGAGGGCCGCCGCAGCGACACGTGCGAGTACTGCGGCAAGGTCTTCAAGAACTGTAGCAACCTGACGGTGCACCGGAGGAGCCACACCGGAGAGCGGCCTTACAAGTGCGAGCTGTGCAACTACGCGTGTGCGCAGAGCAGCAAGCTCACGCGCCACATGAAGACGCATGGGCAGATCGGCAAGGAGGTGTACCGCTGCGACATCTGCCAGATGCCCTTCAGCGTCTACAGCACCCTGGAGAAACACATGAAAAAGTGGCACGGTGAACACTTGCTGACTAATGATGTCAAAATCGAGCAGGCCGAGAGGAGCTAAGCGCGTGTGCAGGGGGGCACCGCGTGCGTCTGTACAGCGTGACCATTGCCAATCATCGCCAATGGGACCCGTGACCGGACTGGCCTCTGTGTCCCCGGGGCCCAGGGAGGCGGCAGTCCAACCTAACCTGTGTCTGCGAAGTCCTATGGAAACCTGAGGGTTGATTAAGGCAGTAAAAATTAAAAAAAAAAAATTGTGGAGCCTTTTAACTGTGCAATAATTTCTGTATTTATTGGGTTTTGTAATTTTTTGGCATGTATGTGCAGGTACTTATTATTATTATTATTTCTGTTTAAATTCCTTTAAAAGATTTTGTTGGGTATCCATCCCTTCATTTTTTAATAACCCAGTAGTAGTTTGAGCAATGACTCGCAAGTGATGTAGAGGGAAGCTATCTTTTAAATTATAATTTTTGTGTGTGTGGGGGGGTGCTGCTTTTTTGAAATTTAAGCTAAGCATGTGTAATTTCTTGTCAAGAAGCCAACACTTAAATGACTTTTGAAGTTGTTTGCCTTTTCATCATTTACTTTTGTCCTGAAATTAAAAAAAAAAAGTGGCATGTGGGTTTTTTTTTTTTTCCGGGGAGGGGGTGACTTTCAAAAACTTTTTTTTCTGGGAGGTGGATGTACAGCGGATTACAATCTTTAACGTTGTAGCACTTTGTTTTAGCATCCGATTGGAGACTTAGCACTGATGTCCTCCTGAGTCGCAGAGATAACTGTGTGGAATTCAACTTTCATGTTAGGAAGGAAAACTTGGAGGGAGGGGTGTGTGGCAAGCGAGCTTCTCCTGCACTCGGGACCCAGAGAAACTTTCCCAGGTGGCTCTAGGAACAGCCCCAGCCTCCTGCAATTGTGTGTTCCCAGGAGATACTGTCCTTTTCTGGGGAACTTGGTGTATCTCTGCCCTTTACTGTAGATTTGGCTGTATAAAATGGGCTGAGGGTACCTACTGGGTAGACAGTGGTGGCCTGCGGTGGCAGGAAGCAACTAACAATGTTCGTTTAGGCTTCTCTCTCTTTCACTACCCAGCCTACAGCTAAATCCCAGATGTCCATTGCTACAGTGGTTGGTAATTGGCCGTGTCCCAAGCAGACAACTGGCCCTGACGATGACCTAGGGGAGTTACCTCCAGGGTCTCTCGGCTAGTGCTGGCCGCACTGTTGGGCAGGGGAATCTTGCCTGTTGGTTTCTTGCTGGAGAAGCTGGGAGGAGTACCCTCCAAGGTGCTCCACGCTGCTTCCATTTTTTGATTTTTGTTTTTTTCCTTCCTCCAATTAGTTGGGACATCCTATACATTGGACTTGTTCGGATTTGATGTTTGAATTCTGTTGACCCGCACTTTAAAGCTTTTGTTTGCATTTAAATTAAATGGCTTCTAAACAAGAAATTGCAGCATATTCTTGTCTTTGGCCCAGAGGTGGGTTAAACTGTAAGGGACAGCTGAGATGGAGTGTCAGTATTGCTAAGCGTGGCATTCACAATACTGGCACTATAAAGAACAAAATTAAATAATTTATTGGACAGTTTCTCTACTGCCATTCAATTTGATGTGCGTGCCTTGAAAACTGATCTTCCTATTTGAGTCTCTTGAGACAAATGCAAAACTCTTTTTTTTTTTTGAGATGAAAAGACTTTAAAAAGCAAACAAGAAAAGTACATTCTTTAGAAACAAAGCCACATTTACTTTAAATTAAAAAAAAAATCCCGGTTGAAGATAGAGGACGTGAAAATGCCATAAGACCCAATCAAATGAAGAAATAACCCCAGCACAGCCCTGGACATCCATTAGCAGAATTGTTTTCAGCCCCTTTTCTTTTTGGGACAACGCTGCTTAGATGTGGAGTGGAGGTGATTTACTGCTGAATTAAAACTCAAGTGACACAAGCCGATATCGTTGAATGAAAAAACAAACAACAAAAACAATTCAGGAACAATGGCTAATTTTTTTTTCCTAAATTTAAATTTAGTGCACTCTGTCTTAAAAACACGTTTACAGTATTGGATACATACAAGGGTAAAAGAAATCGTGTGTATGTGTGTTGGAGCGATCTTTTTTATTTTATTTTATTTTCAAAGTTTGCTTAATAGGTTATACAGAAATGCCACAATGGCTACGTGTATATTGTTTTCTTTTGGTGACGGGGTTTTAGTATACATTATATATATTGAAATTTCTTGATTACTGTCAAAGTGGACCAGTATTTGTAATAATTGAGAATGCCTGGGCATTTTACAAAATGAGAAAAAAAAAAGTCCTTTTTCTTTTCCTTGAAACCGTTGCAGTAAGTTTTAAATGGTGGGTCTATGAAATCTGTCGTCACGGTAACTGTAAAGTCGGAGTTTTAGGACCTTTTTTTCTGCCTTGGGTGTTGAATTTTTATTTCGAAAACAAATGTATAGAAACTTGTATTTGGGGATTAAAAGGGGATTGCTACACCGTGTAGAAAAAGTATGTAGAAAAAAAAAGTGCTTAATATTGTTACTGCTTTGCAGAAAACAAATCCCATTTCTGACCTGTGCTTATTTTTCTCTCCCCCCCTCTGGAATGGATATATCGGTCGGTTCATATGATGTAGGCGCTCGCTGTATTTTTACCGGAGCTTGTAATTTTTTAACTGTAAGCTTGTCCTTTTAAAGGGATTTAATGTACCTTTTTGTTAGTGAATTTGGAAATAAAAAGAAAAAAAAAGACAAAAACAAACAGGCTGCCATAATATATTTTTTTAATTTGGCAGGATAAAATATTGCAAAACAAAAAAAACAAAAACAAAAAACCTCACCCACATTTGTCTGTTGAGTCCTCTTGTACAGGAGAAAAAAAGGGTTGTTTGACAACCTTCAAGAAAAAAAAAAGACACAAAAGGAAAGAGTCAAATCTTTGGTTCATGAGTCATTTTATTAGTTGTGTAGATTCTGTCCGAATTGGCCTACTCAAACTATTGGCTTCAGGATCTGAATGCTCGAACTTTGCTTCAGGCCTCCTTGGTGCAGCCACAAGCAGATAAAGGGATGGCAGGGGTAGGGGTTGAGAGAACAGGGTCACCTCCCTACTCGGCTATGACTACTGTGGCTGCTCCTTCTGCCCCCTAACCACCCTCAAGAGCAGAGAGAGAATCCACAGCTGCCTTTGCCCTTGAGCAGACCTGGATGGAGCGAAGCCTCTGGAAGGAGCAGCTGGGCCCAGGGGAGCCTCTGCCACTGAGACTGGTGCGGGAGGGACTGAGAAGGGCCTTGAACGCGGGTCCTTCTGTTCCACGGAGAGTGTCCGCTTGCTCGCTTTCCTTCTCGGCTTCGCTGCTTTTCTCTGCAATTCCATCTGTTTCAGAATGGTGAGGGCCTGGGATGAAGGAATTCTGTGCCTTTCCATCATTCTCCCCTTCCGTGTTCCCTCTCCACCCTCCTCCAGTCTCCACCAATCCTCTAATCTGTTCGTTTCCTCTTTAATTTTCCTCCCCCTCTTTGTCCCCTCCCCATCCATCTCCCCCTTTTTCTAAAGTCCAGTAGCAGTTGTTTATTGGATGAGGGAATAATACACTTTTCACACACAAATATCTATATCAGGAAGCCATTTTTTTTTAATTTCAGGAAATGTAAGAAACCATCATTTCAGCTTATGAAAGCATGGCCGTGCATCTTTCCAGGCTGGTCCTTCAAATGCAAAGTCTGTCTCACTGTCTCCCATTGGACTTACCTTTGCACAGCTCAAGGATGGGGGACCAAGTGGGGTGCCACGCCTAGGTCTCAGTGTCCTGTATGCTTGCCCCAAGGCCCAGTCCTTCTGCCTCCCTGCCCCTGCGCTGCCCTGTTAGCTGCCTGGGAGCCTCTGTGTGGTTCTCCTGTGCTCATAAAAGCTAGCCGGCGCTCACCAGCTCACCTGTCACCAGAATGCCAGGACTAAGCCATCCTAAAGCACAAGGATTGTCAGTCTCTGCCAAGTGCAGAGAGAAGAGAATTTTGCTTCTCTTGTCAAAGAGAAAACCAACCCACCAACCTCCCCAGAGCAGGTGACCCAGTCAAGGGCTGTAGCATGGGTGAGCCAACCGACCTCAGGTCGGGTTCCACACTGCCACAACTTTACCCAAAGTTGCCCCCAATTCGAACCTGCCACTTGCCATTGGAGGGTCGTCATGGGAGGGGGAGGGGAGAGCAGACTGGCTTACTTTAAGCAAAATGTGAACCCTGAGGTGAACAGCCTTCCACCCGACCCTTCCGTCCGAGGTTTTGTTGAACGCAGGTGAATCCGTGATTTTGGTGCTCTCTCTATCAGCCCTGCATAGCAAAGGCACATTGATTCCAGCTGTTTGCTTTTGTACTGGCGAGGCGAAATATTTTTATTACCTTTTCTATTACTTATCGTATGAGCTTTTGTTGTTTGCCTAGAGGGTTTGTCTCTTACAACAAGTTTGGAGCTATTTATTATTGCTTGGTATTTGTGCTCTGCTTTAAAAAACAGGCACTTGTTTTTTTTAATTATGGATAAAATGTTGAGATGACAGGAGGTCATTTCAATACGGCTTAGTAAAATATTGATTGTTCCTTTTCTTCTCTGTACAAGATTTTGGGCCTCTTTTTTTCCCTTAATGTCACAATGTTGAGTTCAGCATGTGTCTGCCATTTCATTTGTACGCTTGTTCAAGACCAAGTTTGTTCTGGTTTCAAGTTATGAAAATAAATTGGGACATTTAACTTGATCTCCAAACTTGTCCTTTTCTGTGTCTTTTAAAGGTGGGGAATGGTCCGCTGATTTCTAAGGGGGGACTGAAGGTCTTTCTCCATTTCCCTTCTGACCCACACCTTAAGCCCGAGGCCAGAAGGCGTTTGCGAAGCGGTGAGGTTTGGGAACCAGGTTCTAAGCCCTGGCTATACACTATGCGTGCACATAGTGAGACCTTATCTGAAGCAAAACAAAACAAAACAGGAAACAGAAGCGGCTATGAAGCATAGTTTAAGACAGCCAAAGATAATTTTGATCTTGATGGGCTGTCCGTACCACGAGTTCTATTCAGTCATGGCCAAGGACTCTGTGGTGGGGTTAGTAGATGCAGCTTCTTCCGGTCACCTGAAGACTCTTGAGCTCAGTTCAATTCCAGTTCGAACCACATGAAATGGCTTATATTTGATTTGACTGGAAATTGCTGGTGGGGTCTTGTGAGCCCAACATTCTGGAAGCAGCAGCAGCAGCAGCAGGGTCTCAAGTTTGAGGCCAACCTGGCTTCCAATAATGAGCTCCAGGATAGCTTGGGCTACACAGCAAGATCATGTGTGAGAGAGAAGTAAAGAGAAAGGGGGAGGGGAGAGGGAAGGAGAGTGGGCAGGCAGGCAGGTAGGTGCACTCAGGAGCTGGACACCAGTGTACAGGACACCCCCCCCCAGCTGTTCTGTGCAGATACTTTTGGCTTTCCAAGCGCAGAATGAGGGTTCTGGGCCAGGCAGCCTCTCTTTTTTTTTTAAATTTTTTTTAATGATTTATTTAACTTTATTTTATGTGCATTGGTGTGAAGGCATCAGATCTCGTGGAACTGCGTTTTCAGACAGTTGTGAGCTGCCATGTGGGTGCTGGGAATTGAACCCGTGTCCTCTGGAAGAGCAGTCAGTGCTCTTAACCGCTGAGCCATCTCTCCAGCCCCCAGGCAGCCTCTCTTGTCTGTCTCATAGGACGTCTCCCTTCCCTTCTCTTAGGCTAGTTGTTAGTACAGTGAAAGAAACTCTCTTTGGGGTTCACCAAACTCAAGCCTTGTGCAGCGAACGATCCTTTACCTTGGCTCTCCCAGGTCAAGCACAGAGCAGCTGCATGGATGAAGGCAGAGTTCTAGGCATGTTTACATGGATGAACACAGAGTTTTCTCCATAAGCAAGGACCAGGGCCCATCTGAGCTACATGGGAAGAAAGAAGGGCCCCCTGGGTTCCTGATGTGTTTTCAAGTTTCCTGATCTCAAAGGGACAAGGGACCTTCACCTGAAACCACCCTGCAAGCCTTCAGGCTGTCATGAGCTGAGCGTTCACTGGGAGGGAGCAATGAAGGGAAATAGATGTGCCTTGTCGCCAAGGTACGCTGGGGATTCCACCTGCGGAGATGACAGGAGAACAGGGTACTGTGCTTCTTTCCATCCTGTCTTCACCCCTCGCAAGTCAACATCCTCCCAAGAACCTGTCACCCAACTGGACCAGAAGAACAGTTTGAACTGTTGCATTGGACGTGGCATGGAGGGTGACTAGGGTTGGGGAACCGGGTCTAGAGCTTAAGGGACAATTTCCAGAGAAGAGGTTTTCCTTTTCTGTAGCCTTTCCCCCAGTTGGCTTAGAAGCAGGTTCCTACCCAGAGACCTCTGTGAGTAGCCAAACTGAAATGCTCCAATGTCTTCCAATAACTCACGGAGTGAGCTCTTTTTGGAGAGACACCCTCTTCCTTGAGTCATGGAAACAAATGATCAGGCTGAGTCACAGAGATTCCTCCGATGAGTAAGTTAACTAATGCTCGCGAGTAGCTGGCTTCCACGGACAAATTGAAAACAGAGTAGGGCAATGGAAGGGCTTGATCTGCTTCCTACCAGTTTCCTTGATAACTGGTTTTATGATCTCAGGTCAGTCCCTTCCCTTCATAGGGTCTCTGTTCCTTTATCTGTATAGCAAAGGGCTAAGACAACAGGAAGGAACCATTTTTGTCTTCAGACAGAAAGCCCCCAAGGGTGATGCGGGCTGCCTGGGCTCCAAACACTGGGAGGGAGAGAAAGCCTCGAGAACAGAACACCCTACTTGCTGGTTGTGATTTGAAGGCTTCCTCCATGGTATAAATCATGGGGTCTCTGCCATTTCCAACCATCCTGTTGTGGTTTGGGCATCTGTGAAGTTTCTGGGCACCTCTAGTCACCCCATTCTGAGCTGCAAGGTCCAGCAATTAAAATGAGAAAATTTCCTTGTCTGCTTTGGAGATAAAACTAGATGAATGGGACTTTTTATGTTAATGTGATGGAAATACATAATGAATCTCATGTAACTTTCAAGCCGGGGAGGATGAAAACGCTGACTCTCTGTGCAGGTGAAGCCTGAGCCACTAATTGCCTGCCCTGAATATTCTTCAAAACGGCTTCATTGGATTCTGATTGCAAACCATCGAGGATGCTTAAAAGACGTCAAAGCAGGCTGAACCTGGAAACCAATTTAATTCCCAAAGCCGGGACTGAGCTGGATGTATGTCAAAAGTGGGACCACAAGGAGGTCTCCGGCTTGTCTCTCGCTCTCAAGAAGAGAAGCAGAATACGGAGGGTTTTAGGACTAGGTAGTGTGGGCCACGGATGAAGTGGTGACAAAGAGGGAGAAGCAGATGAACCAGGGGGCAGGGAGCTGGGGAAATTGGGCTGCTCCTCCAAAGATAATTGAGGGTTCCGCAGGAAGGTGAAGACAAGAGAGGGAGAGCAGGTGCGTCTGCGGAGGGTAGACACTACACAGCAGATGGGATGAGGGAGAAACTTCATGGTGGCCGGAAGAACATAGTCAAGTTCAAAGGGAAGCAGAATCCTAGAGTTGACTGGACTCCTTGGAAGTCATTTAGTAGGTTCCTAGTGAGCATAGGAATAGGCACCGCCTCCAAAGCTCCAAAGTACCTCCCGTCCAGTCGTTGATTCTTGAATACATCCACATATGCATGCATTCATCCACATAACCATCCATCTAAACATTCATCCACTACCCACTCACCAACCGAATCACCCATCCATCCATTTACCCACCTCCCTGGGTTCACTCATCCAAACATCTCATCCCCCCACCCACAAGTTTGTTCACTGTATAAACATCAAAGGCCTGTGCCGTGTCAGATACTAAGGGAAGTTAGCGGTAAATAAAATTCTAGCCTTTCAGGAATTATTCAGCAGGCAGATCAGGTTCTCCATATATCCACTCATCCAACTACCCGTCCACCTACCTGCTCATTTATTCCTTTCACTCTCTTGAGTCCCCACCTGGTGGCCCGCACTTCTAGGCCAGACAATGCAGCCTGCTGTGGAGTCACTGCATCTTAGCTGGGAAGGTCATGTTGACTGACAGGGCTCAGTGGGAAGCTGGAGCAAGAGTCCCCCATACTTATGTCTCCCTTTACTATGGATTATTTTTCAGACCACAATAAAAAGGTAATCGTATTTTTGTAACCTCTTATAATTAAAAAGCAGTAAAATAGGAGATGTCTGGTTTAGGCCATAGTACAGTTGTGATCCTAGGGGCCCTGTTTAGAACAAGTAGAGGGATATATATCTGTTCAAATCCCAAGTGATGTTGTGTAGCCCTTGCACCAGTTCAAGGAAGACTTTTTGATTCACTAGAGACTTTAGTCTCCAAAGGCTTGGCTAGCATCTCATCCAAAAAATTAGACCTTGGGTAGGGAAAGCACCACTCACCTGCCTCTTCTACTCTATCGGCAAGATCCTGCCAAGTGCTTGCTCCATGCCCTGTGCAGTGTGGACATGCATGCTCCATGTCCTGTGTAGTGTGGACATGCATGCTCCATGTCCTGTGCAGTGTGGACATGCATGCTCCATGTCCTGTGCAGCGTGGATGTGTCTTCTCCATGTCCTGTGCAGCGTGGATATGTTTACTCCATGCCCTGTGCCATGTGGACACGCCTGCTCCATGTTCTATGCAGCATGGATGTGTCTGCTCCATGTCCTTTGCAACATGGATGCATCTGCTCCATGCCCTGTGCAGCATGGACAAGCGTGCTCCATGTCCTGTGTAGCGTAGATGCATCTGCTCCATGTCCTATGCAGCATGGAGGAGGATGCCCAGTGGTTGGGTTCCACATAAACCCAGGAAGCCTAGAGGTAGTCAGGAAGTCTCATGCCCCACCAACACCTTCCACAATGAGCACGGCCCTGTGCTTTGCCTGTGTTGGGAGTGTGGTTGAGGGTCTGTCTGGTTTAATCATCTGTATTATATTTCAACCATGTGTTCCTCTTCTCTCTGGAAGGCTCTGGGCTAGTGTGGATATAAAGCCTAAGTGAAAATCTGAGTGTTTGATATGGTGATGGCAATTACATTCTTGAAAACTATGTTAGGTGTACTAATTAGGGATTCTCAGGTAGAGGTAAAAGCTAGGTGCCTGGATGGTCACAGCACTGTGTTAAATGCTTTATTAATAATTGGTGCTTGTCCTTGATTCCCAAGGGTCTGAGTAGGCCAGTAAGAAACATATAAAACATAAATAAGCAGCAGAACACCAGGACCTGAGAGACTAGAAAATAAAATAAATGTGCACACTCACAAAAACAGAACTGTGTACTTAAACAATAAGTACACAGTTAAGCTTCCCAGCAGCCAAAGGGAAAAAAGGAACAGAAGCATGCCCTTTACTATGCATGAGGAGAGAATGCTCATTGTTCATGACATGTATGCTGGAAGTTTTAACAGCAGCTTTCCTGATTGGCAACAAAAGAGTAAACGAATGAAGAAGAGCTTTTTCATGAAGAAATATTTCCATCTACCTGAAAGGAGGGGACTAGAGACTTTGGTAATAACATGGGAGCTCTGTATGGGATAATGTTGACTTTTTAAAGGCTAGAAAAGAGGACTGAGAGAGGGCTCAGTGGTTAAGAACACACACTATACTTGGAGAGGACTGAGTTCAGTTCCCAGAACTCATGTTGAGGGATTGACAGTTGCCTCCAGCACCGACTCTTTGGTCTCCAACACCCTCTTCTG